AAATCAGGGGTAATATCTTCCCACGTAGTAGCATACGTCAATAATTATATTAAAAAGAAATGGCAAAAGGAGTACAATTCATCCAAGACAGTAAAAGAACAAGTATATGTGAGAATCCAGTCATTAATCCCACACAAACCATGGTTCAGTATATTCAATGGGCCAAAAAAACTTTTTACCTCCATTTGCAGGCTTCACCTGAACCATAACAGTCTACTATATCATTTATATAAGATTGGTATTAAAGATAGCCCTTTGGCGGATGTGATAATGGCTCTTTGGCGGACCAGGACCACATCTTTTTATCCTGCCCTCTAACCACAAAATACAGGGATCAGTTGTATTCTGCGATTTTACAATGCGGCTTGTTCTTACCTACTAAAGCGGCCCATAGACGATCAATATTATTGCACAATATTTTGGGTTGTGCAATTTAATTAATCGTGTGTAGACGACATTGAAAGTTCGTGCAATACATTGCTTGATTGACGAAAAGTTGAAAATATATTGTACAACCTGGAAAATATTGCACCATCGGTTGGCATTATTGTGCAATATCAGTCAGTTTGTGAAGTACAACAAGTAGTAACAAAATATTGCACAAACTTCAATATCACCTTCAAACTATTCAAGTTCATTGCACAAACAAAATTTTGTACAATATTATTGAATGTTAAGGGGTAAGCGTCAAATTATTGTGCAATCTATATTGTACAATAATATTGACCATCTAAGGGTCGCTTAAAAGCTGTAAATTTTGAGTAACACACACCACCACCTTATCAGAAATGGTGTGTACAATTTCATTGCGGCTAAAGCGGCCCATAGACGATCAATATTATTGCACAATATTTTGGGTTGTGCAATTTAATTGATCATGTGTAGACGACATTGAAAGTTTGTGCAATACATTGCATGATTGATGAAAAGTCGAAAACATATTGGACAACCGGAAAATATTGCACCGTCTGTTGGCATTATTGCGCAATATCAGTCAGTTTGTGAAGTAACAAGTGGCACACAAACAAGTGGTATTGCACATACTTCAATATCACCTTCAAACTATTCAAGTTCATTGCACAAACAAAATTTTGTACAATATTATTGAACGTTAAGGGGCAACAGTCAAATTATTGTGCAATCTATATTGTACAATAATATTGACCGTCTATGGGCCGCTTAATGGTTTAGTTATTTAATCACGGAAATTGGAGTGTAGTATGGGTCTCTCCCACACTATTCACCATTGATATGGCAGATATGAAAACAAGGCAAAAAAAAAACAGTACCAGAATTGGTCTTGTAGAATCTAACCCCATCCCTAAATATTTAATTACGCTTTTCTCGGGTTAATAGCATCTCTCCTCTCCTTTTTTCCATTTATATCAATGACCTGCCCGACTCCATCCAGTCTTGTAACTATCACCTATATGCTGATGACTCCCAAATATACATATCCTTCCAATCTTCACTCGGCCATTCTCAAGATCCAAAAAGACCTAAATTCCTTCAACAAATGGGCACATAAAAATTCCCTAGTCCTCAATCCGTCCAAATCCACCGCCGTAATTATCGGGTCCAGGCAACTCTTCAATTCCCTCCCCAGCATCCTATCTCACATGCTAAATAACCATCCCATTCCCTTGTGCTCCTCGGTTAAAAATGTAGGAGTAGTCTTTGACCAAAACCTTTCCTGGCATTCTCACATTTCCCGCCATTGCCTCCCTCAGCCTGTTTCGTCGGTCCTGGCTTCTCTTACCTTTCTCCACCTCCTTGTATCTTCCCTTATACTTCCCTTCTTCGATTACAGCTGTGTGGCATACGGTGGTCTCTCAGAGGGGGGGAACGCGCGATTGAAGCGTATTATGAATTGTTGCATAAGATTTGTGGGGATCCGTGCAAGGGGATCCCGGGTGTCGGGATTGTATTCCCAACTTTCCTGGCTATTCCTCTCCTTCCGTGCACAGTATTTCCTAGGTTGCTTTCTTTTCCAGTCCATTCACACTCATCCTTACATCTTCCAATCCCTCCAATTCAACTCCTCACATCACACTCGTAACACCCGCTCATCTCCAATCGACCTTATCCTTCCGCAACATAGAACCCATACCTTCGTAAGATCCTTTCTGATCCGAACCCCTAAACTCTGGTCTCCCCCTTTCTATTTGTCACGCTGCTTCCTTTTCCTCCTTTAAATCCCACCGTATAATCACCTCCTCTCCCTCCAAGCAGAGACCTCACATTAACATTTGTTATTTTTGTTTAATATTCTTGTAATTTTCTCTTCAGGCCTGCCTTACTGGCATACATTGTGCGAAGATTTCTATCTTTTTTTTAACTTTTAATTTCATAGAAGGAACTTCCTTTATTTATATCATGTAAATTATTCTTGGGGACACTAGTCCCACAATAAAGTTATTTTTCTTCTTCTTTCTTCTTCTTCTTCTTAATTATCGACATTTTGGTCGAAAATGGTATAGGAGCTTATTTTAGTAAATAAGATAGCTTGGGCTTTGCCAGGGTTAGGCTTGATTTTCCATTTATTCCTAAATGATTTAAACATTTTTGTAAGGCTTCTGAAGATATGTTTAATAATATTCATCTGAAAACTGAACCTTGGGCCACTCTGTATGTTGCATTGCTTGCTGGAGGCAGATTGGGAAATATTAACGAAAATTTTTATTTTATTCCTAAGTTAAAATCTTGGTGGTGAGCTGTTACATCACACGACTGAGACATAGTGGAATGACATAATCTGAAGCCAATTTTTTTTTTAAAATATTGTTTTCATTTAAATGTAAACTTATTGTTATGAGAATGAGAACATCTGTCTGTATTAAAATAGATATATCTTTTCCTTTTGTGATTTATCTGAGATGATATAGATAAAATGTATCAATAGAATGCTAATAATATTAATTATAGAAAATCGCTTAAGGAATAACTTTACTTTAAAATAAAAACCCTTTAAGTTTGTATTTATTTAGGTTAAAAGTTATTAAATTAAATATTAACAACAAAAATATTGAACAAGTTGCGACTAGTTCAGTATAAAAGTATTTCGGTTAAAATGAAGAAGATAATTCTTTGAGAACGATATGTTAAGAGTTATCGAGTTGACCTTTTATTTTTATACACAAAGATTTAATGGCGTGTCAGTCAGAATGAAAATACAAAACAATTTGACAAAAATATTAGTCGACATTTTTGACTATTGACTGAAGTTTGATGTTTTGATATCATTTATTTATAAATATATTTAATTAAAAATTACACGCTTGGTTAGAATAAGTATTGATTTGTAATTTATTTATTAAAATGATAATACTTGAAAAGTTTCCTGATGAATAGAAAAGAACGACTTTTAATCAAAATAATTTTAAGAGGGCTCAATCTTGTGAATGTGTAATAATGACATAAGCCAGAGAAGTAGGTTGGAGAAAGATTTTCAGGAAGTTAAGTTTCCAGTTTTAAGTCTTGTTACATCACATTTTTCCTTTAAAAAGACACGTGCTAGGGGAAAACATTCGCGATAATTAATTAATAGTTTTGATTTAGATCGTGAATTCTTTGAAATCACACTGGCCTTGGGAACAGTTTATTTATGCATGATTCAGTTATTTTTATCCTTGGGCACTCTTGTTTCCCGTCGTTTTGCAAAATGTTTTTTCAATTTTAACAAAACATTTAAAAGAAGGAAAAAAGCTTGTCAATATTGAGTCTTACCGCTCATATTTATGTTCCTTTTTGTTTCAAATTCTTCAATTTGTTGACATTTGAAGGACTTAGCGATGTATTTGCTGATAATTCCTTCATAAATTTTACGTATGCTTTTAATTTTACACATCTTCTGAAACTATTTTCCTTAAGTGTTATTTATTATAAAGGTCAAAGATAATTGAAATATAAACTAAAAAAAATTTTTTTTTAATGTAATGAAAAACGCTCTTAAAATAACAAGCGTACTTTTTTGTCAAACGTGTTTTTTAAATTTATGTTAGGATTTGATATTTATATTTCCCAGGGGGTAGTGCAACTGACTTGTCATTCGTCACTGTAAGGTAAAGGTCCCAGGTTCAAATCTGCGGCCAATCTGATTTACAAATGGGCTTTTTTTTTCAAAAACATGTAAGGGGGTTCATGTAACCTCATAGTTGAAATACCCTCATATTAAAAATATAAACGATATCTATATCTTTTAAGGAAATGCCAATTTCATCGTCTGGACTACTCAAAAGCAGAATTTCATTGTGGATGAGATCGTGTTTTATAGAATAGTTTTTCATTTTAATCATTGTGGAATGTTCAGTGTGAATTTTTATCTTTTCATCACATCACAGACTCAGCAGAAAAACAAGAAAATCGATTAAGCAGTATCTTTTTAACGCCAAGAATGTTCTGTTATGATTATTTTACAGGAAAGATTATTTTATAGGAAACAAGGATGAGATATCTGCACTTTTTCAAACAAAAATTTATTTTAACAACAATATAATTTAACAGTTATCCACGCAGACAAATTTAAATTTAATAGCAAAATATTCGCGTATAAAAATTATTCTTAATATTTTGACTGATATTTTCAAAACTTTTTATGTATTGGGGTATCAGAATATGGAAACTCATTCAAGTTTTTCTTTTATAACATTATATAAACAGGGAAAAAGAAGTTGTCTGATATGGCTGTCATGAAAATTAGTGTAAGAATTTATTCGTTGTCAATATTTGATGTACGGACGTTTTTTTTCTTTTGATAAGATAAAATTTATCAAGGGAATCTATATTTAATTCTGATTAAAAACCGTTAGAAAGGCATCTCTTTGGTTTCGTTGTTTGCAACTAGTTTTGATAAATTTAATAAATTAATCTGTAAATATTGATCTTTGAGACATAGGTTAAATTTTAAAGTATATTTTAAGACAGTACAATTTTATAAATTTCTGTCCGTGGAAATTATTGAAAAAATGTTAAATAACTGAAAAATCAATTTTTTTTTTCAGAAGGCGATATGGTAATAGTGAAATGCTATTGAATGAAGATGATGTTGCAGATATTCAAGATGAAGATATGAAACATTTTGAGGTATATTATTTTCATATATTTTCTTGGAAAAAAAAAATTAGAACTAGTTTATCCTGGCCAATTAAATTCAGCAGTCTGACAGCACATTAACGATGTGATTTGCTAACTTATATTTAATTAACATCTAATTTTCATTTCTCCAACAGCCTGTTTATTAATAAAGATTGCCATAAACATAATTTGAAAACAAAGGAATGCTGGAAAATAAAAACGTACTATTTTCATGCACAGAGGTTTTCATTATAACAAAAAAAACACTATTAACAAAGCATGAAATTTAAAAAAAAACTAAACAATATACAGTCGAATTTCTTTTAAGTGGACTCAGGAATAGGATTTCGCATAGTTACAGCTTATAAGAGGTCCACATATAGAAAAATTATTAGGTGAATTAAGTGAAAGCAAAAAATGAATTGACAAAGAAGGAAACAACCAACACCTATCTTCAACAATTTAGAAAAGTAAATCGGCAACACAAAGATGAAGAACGAAAAATAATTAAGTATAAACAAGAACTAGCAAATTGAATAAACACGGCTTATAAAAGTTATTCTGTTGGGGCGAGAGATCAAAACCTCCCAGGAAAAAAAAAGATGACAACAAAAATAATTACGTGAATATCACAGGTAGCAATTAAACACAATGATGTAAGGACATTATTATTTGAAGATTGTGAAAAAACATGAAAAACTTTCTAAAATTATCAAATAACTTGTAATAGAATTAGTTGAATTGAGAAAACCTAAGTTATTTTTTTTCTGCTTCTACCTATAAAAAAATTATATTGAAAAATTTATAAATTTTGTGTTTGTGTCTGTTTATTAAAAGACTTTTTTAGAGTAAAGTAATTTTCCATTTATGAGGGATGTCCAGTTATTAATGTCCATTTAGGGAAGTTTGACTGTTTTTACTTATAACTTATTGACATTATTAGCATGTTTAGCATGTATTAACTAATTCAGAGGTTCAAATTGATCATGGTACAAGAAAATTGTACGACTAGAAATGTATAAGCGTATTAAACTTGTCTTTGGAAAGATGAAAATTAAACAATTTTTTGGGCTTGCTTATCAGATTTTTTAAAATTAAAACCAGGAAATTTTTTCTGTTGACAAATACTACAAAATTTTAAGAAGAATAGTGTATCAGGATTAAAAGGAATAAATTCGTTTTCTTTATTCAGACGGTTTTTACGTGGTGTGCTACTTGTCACAAATCTACAAAGGTTATCAAGGAGTCAGCGCGTATTTTTTCAACCGGATAAATTTAATGCATTGATAAAAAATCAAAAAGCAGTTTAGATTACTTTACGAATTTGTCGTCGTCGGTGTACAAATTTTGTCTTTTACACTACACCTACACTCTTTGGTGTGGCTTCCATTATTTTGGTTTTTTTTAAATCTTTGTGTGAATGTCTACTGTCTATCTTTTACAAAAATATCTTTGGTCCTTCTTAAAAAAATGAAGGCATGAGGAAAATAGATTGTTTTAAAAGTTTACACACCATAGATGGAATAAAACGTAATTTAAACGTATTTTTTCCCTATAAAATAAAAAAAATATATCACACATTAAACTTTAACATTTATTAACAATTCTTTTTTTTCTGTATAAACTGTAAATATGGTGATTGGATTTTCAGTATGATTTCAGTGTTTTTCTTTCAGCGATACGCTTGAAATTAATATGTAAACGAATGTCTTTAATCAATGGCTGTTAATGTGTTCATTTGTTCTCTGGAGCTGTAAGGTATGTTGGTATAACAAAACCTTGCTTTTAGTTTAACATTGATAATTGTATCTTGAATTAATTATTAGAGATTGACATGGTTTTCATCATAAAGGGTTGACTGTAGAAAAACACGACTTGTTTTAAATTGATTTCTTGTATAAATCCAAATTAGAACAAGTTTCGATCAATATTGAACATCCCATTCTGAAAGGACACCACCATATTGTTACAACGCTCCTTAAAAAAACCTTGTGTATCTGATTAACATTCATTAAATTTAGCAATAGAGCATTTCTAATTTTATTACTTTGACTAATTCATTCTCGGCTCCAGTTAAAGCTGATGGACAAACATGGGAACATAATTGAGCATTGAGTTTGCTCAAGGCCGCTTTGTAAACACAAGATGCCGTTTCATCTTTTCTTTCTCTGGTAAAATTTTCGTTTTAGCATGGGCTTAGGGTGTTTTGTTTAGTGGTTACGAGGAATTTCTGTCACACCGCCTTGCATGATTCGCTTCCTTCTGTTGGAATTTTTATTAATGCTGTTTTTCTATTTGCACTTTTTTTATATAAATTTTGTATTATAATTTCGTAAATTGTATTTGTCTGATGTCGATGTGAATCTACGATATTGAGCAATTCTTTTATGACAAAAATTGCATATTCAAATATCGACTATGATTTGACTGTTAAAATCACAACTTAGACCTTAATATAAAACAATACATTTTATTGGTATATTATTAATCCAACATCCATTGAATGTTGGTACATATAAACTTTTTCATTTTTAAACTTTTCACCCTTGATGAGAATTTCCTGTCGTTTTAATTGTCCCAACTGTTTTTCTTGTTCAATTACCTTGCACCCATTCCAAGCATCAATTAACTCTTTTTAAAGTTATATGTGTTCACTATTTTTCATGGTCTGCTTGACCAATTAATAACATTCAATTAATTAAGGTTTTTAGTTGAGATAAAAAAGTCAACGGCACGAGCGGGATTCGAACCCACGACCTTCAGCTCGATATGCTGCTGCTCTACCACTTGAGCTATCGTGACTTCGATCACCTCGGGCACTAACTTCCCATCTTAACCCCACCTTTTGAATTTCCCTCCTTTTTACCATTTTTCAAATGTCGTGTAATTGGATTGGATTCTTGGCGACAAATGAAATGACCACGGAGAGCTTTAGTGAAGTATACTTCATTTTAAATAATTAAATTCACTAATTTCATGGTCCACTTGACCAATTAATATATTACGATTAATTAAGGTTTTTAGTTGAGATAAAAAAGTCAGTGTCACTAGCAGGATTCGAACCCACAACCTTCGGCTTGATACGCCGCTACTCTACCACTTGAGCTACCGTGGGAGATGGGAAGTTAGTGCCCGAGGTGATAGAAGTCATGATAGCTCAAGTGGTAGAGTAGCGGCGTATCAAGCCGAAGGTTGTGGGTTCGAATCCCGCTCGTGACACTGACTTTTTTATCACAACTTAAAACCTTAATTAACTGAAATATATTAATTGGTCAGGCGGACCACGAAAAATAGTGAATTTAATGAATTGAAATGAAGTTCACTTCATTAAAGCTCTGTGGCCATTTCATTTGTCGCCGAGAATCCAATCCGATTACACGACATTTGAAAAATGGCAAAAAGGAGGGAAATTCAAAAGGTGGGGTTGAGATGGGAAGTTAGTGCCCAAGGTGATCGAAGTCATGATAGCTCAAGTGGTAGAGCAGCGCCATATCAAGCCGAAGGTCGTGGGTTCGAATCCCGCTCGTGACACTGATTTTTTTATCTCAACTTAAAACCTTTATTAATTGATTGTTATATATGTTGATAAACGTGATAAAATATTAGTAATTTTGAAAATTACTAAAAATATAAAGGATATTCGGATTCAGCAAGGGTAAATAAAATATAAACAAGGCTTAATTTTAAAAAAAACTTATGAAATAACAAAGCATTTTAAACATTTTTTAAAATAATATAACCTACTGTTTTGTAAATACATTTTTTCTATCTGATTGGGAGGTTGTAAATAATTAAAATAATTAAAGGCCACCATCCTTGCATCGTCTCAAATCACTGTCCTTTTTTTTAAATCCCAAAGAGGTGAAAATCACAAGGTTAATTAGGTTGGTAAAAGCATACCAGAAGCACCTATACCTTTATTCTGCCGCCAAAAGGCGACCAATTTGACACACACTTTACGGTTTTCTTAGATCCTTTGTCATAATGTTTTAACGGATCACACAGCTTATTCCTACTCGTTCTACCGTTTTGATTACTCGGCGGATTTCAAAAGCTTCCGTCAACCTGATATCGTAGCTCTAAATTTTGGTTGTTTTTTGTTCTCAAAGTTCCTACCCTAAAGCTGGGTTTTCAATGCACAAAAATCACTCGCGTTTGTGTATATCTATCCAGGACTGTGAAACTTTCGGCATTAAGATGTTTTGGGCTGAGCCGACCAGCTGTCAGCTTTTTTAGTGCGCATCCAAGTGTTGCGCATTCGACTTATTTGAATGTATCCCAGCTACTGATTTTTGTGGGATGCTAAAGGTAAAACTCATAACAAGAACAAGATACAGGAAGGAAATGAGCGTCAAAGTTGGACAAAGATAACACAACAAAAAGTATCCCCATGATAGTAAACATTGATGCTTGTCTTGCGCAAACTTATGGCTCACCTTGTTTTGCTTCTAGGTTGTGAATGTTTTGCGTCGTGGAAATGGTTAACCCCCGAGTTGGTGTTTTCACAAGTGATTCTCACGTTTAGTTAAGTGTGTGATTTTTCTTTTTCTTTTATGCAATGGAAACCCAGCTTAAGGTTTGGTTCATCTTCGGAACCTCCTGCCTTGGCTCATTAAGCCCCAAGAACTTTAAACTTTAATTTTACTTACTGTCTGTCTCTGAAGCTCCTTTCTTAATTTATCTTCATATATAGCTCCAAATTTGGGCTGTTATAATAGTTGCTCCTTGGAGTACAGAGCTTCCTTCCTGGTAGATTCCAGATAGAGAAGCATCAAACTTTTCTGCGTTCAACTAGGCATTCATCATGGTAGCTCCAAATTTTGTCTGTTTTGCATAACTGTCTTCTCAGAGCTCCTGCCTAAGGTTCATTTTGATACAGAGCTTCAAATGTTAACATTTGACAGTTTCCAAACCTCCTGCCTCAGCAAGTCCCTAACAGAAGTTTCAAACTTTAGTTGTTATTCAAAGACTGACTTCAACCAGGCCATAATGCCTTAGTAAGGTCACTTGCACTGGAACTGTCAAACTGGAAACTGAAGTTTGTACTGCTCAAAAAGATCAGAACCACACGACTACCTAACCCCTTACGTCCCAATTAATTTACTCTAAAAATGGCCGCCTGATCACTGAAAACACACAGAAAAAAGTCTCGTTTATATTTGATTTATATTTATATTACAAAATTGTAAAAAATTGATGGATGTCAAAGATTAATATGAAAAAAATTGACTTATTACAATACCATAAGGGCCTTTTTAGAGAAAAAAATGTAAAAATCATTAAATTCACTAATTTCGTGGTCCGCTTGACCAATTAATATATTACAATTAATTAAGGTTTTTAGTTGAGATAAAAATCCGATTACACGCCAAACATCGTAGGTTCGAATCCCGCTCGTGCCATTGAATTTTTTATCTCAACTAAAAACCTTAATTAATGGTAAAAATAAAGTTGCAATTTTGAAAAATTATAAAAATCAGAGTTGCAAAACTTAAAAAAAGTACATATCAGAAAAGTCAAATAAAAAAATACACAAACATGCGAAAAATAGAAAGATCTTTGTAAAGAGAATGAGATGAAATGAAACTAAATTCCATAGGAAAATTGTAAAAACACATTACGGACCACAGTAGCCGAGTGGTCAGCGAGATAAACTCTTGGCTTGAATAAAATTGGCAGCCTTAATTTTAACAAAATTTAGGATAATAATAAGTAATCAAAACATAAAATTTTTTCATTAATAGTTGTGTTTTGTGTGTAAATAGAAACTTAAGTTTTTATGAAAAAATGTTGAATTAAAATCGTAACTGTTTCAGTGATATTTGAAGTAGTACTAAATAAATTTTTCATGTGCTTTGTCTGACTAATAAGATATTGCACTTAACGGTTTTTTTAAAGTTGATTTTACAATAATTTCCTTTGAGAAAAACAAAAGACAATTTTATATTTGAAGACATCTTTTCTTTTAAATTTTTAGGAATTTGCCTCCGCAATCTTTACTCCTTTGCCAAATTTGAAAAATAAATGTGTGCGTTCAGTAGACTCTGATAACAAGAACCGTGGATAATCGGAAATACCCCGAATTTCAAGCTTCAAAGCATTTTTCTTCTATCTGCATACCATTCAGACACTGCCTGCTGTCAATGTTGTATATGACCTTATTTACACATATTTTTCAGGTTTTATCAATAAGAAAATACAATGTACGGTAAAATATGTAAAGTTTATTCCACACAGGTAAACAATATGTACATACATTGATAGGGGTATGCATGCACCTATGCATGGTATCAAAACAGATTTAAAAAAATTTAAGGCCTAAAAAAGAGAAAATTGATAAAAAAGATAAATTTAGGATTAAAAAAAAAACAGTTGTGGGCAACTGCGAACGAGTGAAAACTCAGATAATGAGAGTCTACTGTATTTCAGCTTTCTTTTTAAATTATTCTAACAATACATCGCAACACTGATGGGGATGACACTAAAATTCTCTTTTCTCGACTGAATCCTATCCAAGAGCCTCCAACATCCAAGAACATCTTAAGTTAATCAAACAGGCACACCAAATGGAGAACATGACCTGAACTTAGTAAAAGTTCACGTTTAAAAAATAGCCTTTTGGTTTCCATTCAAATCAAATATTTAAGACTATACCTAGATAGTAGACTGACGTGGAATCAGCACAGAAGACTTAAGAGACAACTTAAATGAAGATTCAAACAAGTACAAGATCTCTAGGATTGAAATCTTGACCATAACCTAACCTAAGCTTAGAACTAACTTTATGTACAGTGGGTTCTGCCCAGCCACCTACCTCCAGCGCAATGAAAAGTGACAAGTCGTCAAAACTTCTTATTACATTACTCACTAACCATACTATCCACAACGACCTCCACATTCCTTTTATCAACGAACTGATCTTTTTCTGATCTCAAAGGTTTTACACCAACCTCTTCATCCATCCTAACCCTACTGCTCGAGCCCTGGCTGCACAGAAACTGTCCTATTGCTTAAATCGACAATGGCCTTGAGACCTCCTTTTGCTCACACTGAGTGCCACCAGCCTTGGCTGGTTTCTCACGGTATGTCCTCTGGGTGCACGTAAGACTTAAGAGACAACTACAACACTTCTAGGGCTGAAATCCATCTTGACCGTCACCACTAAACTAACCTTATACAAGGCTTTAGAAACAGTGGGGTTCTGCCCAGCCACCGACATCCAGCACATCCAATTGTTCCACTGAAAAGTGACAAATTGTCCAAGCTTCTTACTACATCACTAACCAAACTAACCACATTGACCTCCACATTCCTTTTGACAACGAACTGATCTGTTTCTGATTTCAAAGATTTTACACCAACCTCTTCATCCATCCTAACCCTACTGCTCGAGCCCTGGCTACACAGAAACTGTCCCGTCGCTTAAATTGAAAATGGCCTTTTGCTCACACTGAGACCATCCCTAAGCGTTGGCTGGTTTCTCACGGTATGTCTTCTGGGTGCACGGAAGATTTAAGAGACAACTACAAGACTTCTAGGGCTGAAATCCATCTTGACCATCACCACTAAACTAACCTTATACAAGGCTTTAGGAACAATGGGGTTCTGCCCAGCCACCCACATCCAGCACATCTAATTGTCCAATGAAAATCGTCCAAGCTTCTTACTACCTCACTAACCATACTGTCCACAACGACCTCCACATTCCTTTTGTCAATGAACTGATCTGTTCCTGATTTCAAAGGTTTTACACCAACCTCTTCATCCATCCTACTGCTTGAGCCCTGGCTTCATAGAAACTGCCCCGTTGCTTAAATCAACAATGGCCTTGAGACCTCCTTGGACCTTGTACAACAGCATTGGCCAGTTTCTCATGGTATGTCCTCTAGTTGCAGTGCTGGCGTGTTAGTACTGTGACCGTGTAAAAAAAGTTTTGTGTTTTCATTCATAAAATTTACATTGAAAACAGCCCTCCACTGTATCAACTTCCACATGAGTCAGATATTTTGGACTATTCTTATACAGCACACATGGAATCCATACACAAGATGACGATAACTTAATACGTTCAGTGCGGCCTTCTAAATCAATTTTCTTTCAAATTTCTTATTCCTAGAAACATTACGCATCATGACCTATTCAAGTGTCATCCATCGAGCATACTAGGCCACTTTGGCCCTCATTTAGGACACCATTATCAAACTATAACTATGAAGACTTTTAGGACCAAAGCTCATCTATTTACAAAATTGCGACCAATTTGGACTACAAACTGTGCGGTTCTGACCAATCTATTCAGCACATCCAATCCTCCCAGTCAAAAAGACAAGTCAAATCTCCATACTACGCCACTATCCAAAAAACTCAACATTCCTTTTGCCAATGAACTGATCCAAACTTGGTTCCAAATAATTAAGTTTTTTTTTTAGTTGAGATGAAAGAAAGCTAATGGCACGAGCGGGATTCGAACCCACGATCTTCGTCTAGATACGCCGCTGTTCTACCACTTGAGTATCGTGACCTCGATCCACTCGGACATCAACTTCCTATCTCAACCCCACCTTATGAGTTTTCCCTCCTTTTTGCCATTTTTCAAATGTCGTGTAATCAGATTGGATAGCTTTTTTTCATCTCAACTAAATAAAAAAATTAAAAAAACCTTAATAATTTGTAATGTATTAATTGGTCAAGCGGACAACGAAATTAGTGAATTTAATGAATTAAATGAAGCACACTTCACTAAAGCTCTCCGAGGCCATTTCATTTGTCGTCGAGAATCCAATCCGATTACACGACATTTGAAAAATGGCAAAAAGGAGGGAAAAACTCATAAGGTGGGGTTGAGATAGGAAGTTGATGTCCGAGTGGATCGAGGTCACGATAGCTCAAGTGGTAGAGCAGCAGTGTATCTAGCCGAAGATCGTGGGTTCGAATCCCGCTCGTGCCATTAGCTTTTTTTCATCTCAACTAAAAAAATAAAAAATAAAAAAAAAACTTAATTAATTGTAATGTATTAATTGGTCAAGCGGACCACGAAATTAGTGAATTGGTTCCAAATGTTCCACACCAAGTTTTCAATCCATGCTAACCTTGCCGTGCAATTTCTAACTTTCTCCATCCCTAGAATCCTCCATGTCGCCTTAAAAGTTAAATGATGATGGCCTCGAGACCTCTTTACCCCTTAATTTCTCATGTTGAGTGCCGCAGTTTCTCATGTGTCATTGCCTGATAAATTATTATATTATTTTTTATCATAAATATTAATTTACTACCGATTAGTACAATAAATGATAAAATGTACTTCTGGATAAACCTTTCTGGATTAATGAAAAAAAAATTAATATCAAGGAAGCTATGGTGGCCGAGTCGTTAAAACGTTTGATTCTTGTTTAGCCATGCCTAGCGGTTCTGGGTTTAGATCCCAGCATTACATTTGAAATTTTATATGAATTTTGGAGGGAAAAAAAAATCAAAAACAGTATTGTGAAGTGGTCTGACCAAAACAGGTAGTTGATGTTTTTACCTTTATATAACTGTTATTCTTTAAATATCGATTTTTTTTTCTTTGTTCATGAGAAGAGAACCTGCTATGCATACAATAATTGCTTCATTATAGTTTCAAGCCCTTTCTTTAAACATTTTTTTAAAATTTATATACATGGATTTTGTGATAAAAAGGTCATATGATAAAATGTAAATGCACAAAATAAGCTCTGCTGAGTTAGAAATATCGGTGTTTTGGGGATTAAAGTTACATCGGTTCAGGCTTAGAACATCATGGTTGCAGGTTCTGAAGTTAATGTGCTCGAACCCTTTTTATCTCAAATTTTGTGTAAATAAAATATTTATTTATTATTTTGTCACATGTAAGCTTAATCGTAGCACACTTAAAAAAATTAAATTTACTTTTTCAAACCATCACATCAATCATTCAGATTGTACGTTTTATAATAGGTAATTTTTTTTTTACTGTTAATATATTTTTAATAATTATTATTTGTTCTGTTTCTAGGCTGCTTGCATTCAAATTGAAGTTTAAGTCATTGTGGATGTGTTTGACTGATTATATTCTAATCTTGTACTTATGTGAAATTATATATACACATATCTTTTTATTATATATATATTTTTATTGTATTAATGTAAATAACCACTTTTTTTCTTGTGAAAGTGCAATATGAAATTATGTACTATAATATGGTAACTAATCAAAAGTTGATATAATGTGCCTTTAAAAATTGTTGTATTTTAAAATTGCTATTAATAAAGTTTATTTATGCATTTACGCTTGTTTTTGGCTCCTGTTTTGTATTTGAGGTAATTGAAATAAAAATTACAACAAAGTCCAAAATATATTTTTATTAATATTTTAACAACCAATCACAACTAATTATTAAGGCAAGAAAATTGATATTTTAAAAAATAAAAAATAAATTCTACGTATCACTTTATTTATTGTACTTGTCATCAATTTATTGAAAGGACCTATAAAAAATGTTAAAAAAGAAAAACAAACCGACATTTCATACTGTCGAATGGTACGGACTCAAAATAGCTTTTCCTCCGGTAAACAGAATATTTAACAGAATAAATCGTAATAATGAATTATCCGACACTACTTGTTAGAATATCAAACAATCACTTTTTCTTGACGACGACAGGGCCGACGTTGTCACCGGTTTCAGCGTTGTGAGCACCGTGCGAGCCATCGCAGTATGGGAATTTTTTACTTCTCCAACACCGGCAGTAAGCAGTCGAATCGCCGAGATCCTCTATGTTCGCTATATGTACAACTTTGGCTTCGTGCTTTTGTACTGAAGGATTAACAACCTGATAAAAAGAGGAAAAAAAATGATTATAAGTTGATTGGAATAGAAGTTATAAAAATATAATTTTTACTTACTAATCGAGGTTTTACCGCCCTATAAGCAGTGTAAGACAATCCTCCTACTACTGCAAAAAAAGGGACGAGCGATGCCCAATCCTTCACTAAAAAATAAATTTGTTAACAATTTTAGTTTTTAAGGGTAAATTTCATAACAATATGGTTTTTTTATTCTCTGTGGAATGTTATATAATCTTCAATGTTTTGTTTTGGATAGAGATAACATTGATTTAAAAATTCACTAATTTCGTGGTCCGCTTGACCAATTTTATTACATTACAATTAATTAAGGTTTTTAGTTGAGATGAAAAAAAGTTAATGGCACGAGCGGGATTCGAACCCACGATCTTCGGCTAGATACGCCGCTGCTCTACCACTTGAGCTATCGTGACCTCGATCCACTCGGACACCAACTTCCCATCTCAACCGCACCTTTTGAATTTTCCCTCCTTTTTGCCATTTTTCAATTCATAATTATTCATAAATTTCAATTCATATTAATTGGTCAAGTGAACCACGAAATTAGTGAATTTTTATGTTAAATTGAAGTTTATTTTTACTGCAACGACTTTACTGCTACATTGACGACATTTGAAAAATGGCAAAAAGGAGGGAAAATTCAAAAGGTGGGGTTGAGATAGGAAGTTGATGTCTGAGTGGATCGAGGTCACGATAGCTCAAGTGGTAGAGCAGCGGCGTATCTAGCTGAAGATCGTGGGTTCAAATCCCGCTCGTGCCATTAACTTTTTTTCATCTCAACTAAAAACGTTAATTAATTGTAATGTATTAATTGGTTAAGCGGACCACGATATTAGTGAATTTAATGAATTAAAGTGAAGTACACTTCACTAAAGCTCTCCGTGGCCATTTCATTTGTCGTTGAGAATCCAATACTCATAAGGTGGGGTTGAGATAGGAAGTTGATGTCCGAGTGGATCGAGGTCACGATAGCTCAACCGAAGATCTTGGGTTCGAATCCCGCTCGTGCCATTAACTTTTTTCATCTCAACTAAAAACCTTAATTAATTTTAATTGATTTAAAAATTAATTGTTAAAACAGCGCTAACAAAATGAAAATTACATAGACATCGGGTCGTTGTATGTTTGCTAATTGATCAATAATTAAAACTATCCAAATTCAAAGTTTACAAATAAACTGTATTTAAAATTGGGCAAAGAATTTATAAATTGAGCATGATCATACTGGGGGATATGACTGACTTTGATCTCGGATGCAACCTTTTGTGATCTGTCCTGGGTCTTTTGTGCAAAAATAGTCACAACAGACCAAAAGCAAGGTCAAAGTATGCCAGTTTTGCCTTGTTTTCACAGACTGACTGGTGATGGTGGTATGGAATCTACTCCTGCGTTGCAGTCATGCGACTCGTGTGCACTGATTCTCATGCTTATGTTCAACAGATATGCTGAGGAGCTGGAGTATCTTGGAAAAAAATTAGTAGTAATCTCCGGACATATCAGGCTGGAGAGAAAGCGCAGGCCAGGCAAGAGCAATTTACTCCAGACCTGTCACATTCAGACCCACTGACATTCAATGAGCAATAAAGAATGTGGTAAAAAAAAGGAGGACCAGGTCGTCCAAGAAGTTCATGCTCGAGAGCTCCCAGTGACTAAATTGCAGAAGAAAATTTTTCTAATCCGACTCAGAATTGGCCGTACATGGTTTGACACACAAGCACTGTTGGGCCAAAAACCTCTTTTCCCTTATATAATTATATGATGTCATTCCTTGGCTCCTTATAGGGACAGAAAATGCTACCTGAAAAGTGAATTATGCTTGAACACCGCAGGGAATCTTTGGGTCTCCTGTTCCAATTTTTTTGAGAAAACAGTCCTGCTTTATTATATAGTACTTGTTAGATATCCCATTTCGTATACATTGATAGTAAATGTATTTATTAGTGCGAATCAAAAACTCCAGAATGAAAGATTCTTGTGGTGTACCGGGATGTCATAGGATCGACTCTGAACATAAGTGTGCTGAATTGAGCTTGTAAAAATCAATCAACAATCAGTGAGAACACCTATTGACCCTGAACCCTTTTGCGGCATACCAAATTGACAAAATCGTAGCTCTACTAAACAATGGGTTAAAAATAATTCCTCTGTTTCTTTGTGATTATATTCCAGGACAGACCCATGGGTGCCCTTTAAAAAAGTTTTGGGATCTGATAAGCCAACACTAAACAGTGCAATTGCACGGTGGACCGTGTGGTTGATACAACCTTAAACTTAGTACATGGAAAATAGATTGAAAGATGTCATAGATGCCGAACATCCTGGTGGAAAATCTCATGTAATGTGTCATGAGCCAACAGGATTATTAAATGGTCAAGACTCTAAATAAACTAAGATGCACAATAAACTCCATGAGTGACGGAATAATGAAGACAAGTTGATAAAAAACTTTCAAGTTATCTGATATTAAGTGCAAATAATTTAATCCCACTTTTATTTGCGTTTAGATAACAAAATGCCAACTATGCATAAGAAACGTCTCGTGAGCGTTTTGTCATTCGCTACTTTGCAGTTAAAAATGAATGGGAAAATTATAATGGGAATTAAAACTCATAAATTGATCCCAAATAATGTGAAAATCCTGGAATTAACAGATTATACAATTTTTTATATTGAGCGTTATTTATATATATCAATAAATAATGAGCCAGGAATAAACTTTAGTTATTGGAACATATACATAAATGAGAGAATATTTTTGAGTGACATTGCAAAAATGTAACTTGGAACATTTTCTCACTCCTGTTTGTTATTCACTAATTAATAGAAAAAATGAATGGGAAAATACAGTTAGAATGGAAACTGAAGCGAGTTGGATTTTATCAATGTGAACATAAAAGCCTAGTTAGTAGTTTATTATATAAAAAAAAGGCTAATATGGTATACTAGTCACTCCAATATTATACAAAATGGTACCCAGAAAATACAGTTAGAAATTAAAACTTAAAAATGGCTCCAGAATAATGTGAAAATCTTGGAATTCATTGATTAGATAGACAGATGTTAATTTAATTGTAGCATACAGTTTTACCCAATGACCTCTTTAGGTGGTCTCTAAAGAGGTGTTCTCTCTTGATTCTAAATCTATTGAACTTGTCTCTTGAGTTTAGGATTAGGCTACTCACTGACCTTGAGTACATTTATTCACTGTTATACTGTTTATAGTTTGTACTGGCACTTCTTCATTATGCTTTGGATTCTTACGCTATGTAAGATTTTACATAAAAGTTTTTTGTTGAGTTATATTAACATCTTTAGAGGGTACAACGCCGGTTAAAAATATTTTTTGAAATGTCCGTCTCAAGTTTAGTATGAATTATGTGGATCTCGGTATGGTTTGGATGAAAAACAAATTCATTTTTTACCTATCAAGTTTTGACATATTTTTACATATGGTATATTTGATTATGAAAGTATATATTGAAGTATATACTCCTATATATATAAGTATACCACCATATCTCTCTCTCCCTCTCACTCTCTCTCTCTTTCTCTCTCTCTCTCTCTCTCTCTCTCTCTCTCTCTCTTTTTCTCGACTTTACTTTTTATTAATATAAAAATCAAATATCAATATATCAATAAAAAGTCAAATAGAATCGACATAAAAGCCGGAGAAATAGATTGGGATTGGTTTTTTCCAAAGAACTACTTTCAATCAAACAGAAATATTTGAAAAAATTAAAAAGTAAATAAATCAAAAACAGGGAAAACATGCCTGAGATTATTTTTATATTTTACTTCTCCCGCAATATCTGGAAATTATCTTTTGATATTTGAAGCACTGCGTAATATAAAGAGAAAACCTTTATGAGAATTTTGCAAAGAAACATGATTCTATTTTTTTTAATATGTAATTCTTTTTGCCCTTATTAAGTTTGCTTGTCTTTAATATTTTATTATCAAACAGCTCATACTAGGAAAAGTAAAGAAATTTTTAATTTAAATTTTCATAAGCCGCACTGATGTTGACACCTCTCACGTTTCTTACTGGCAAATCTGAAGGATTGAATCTTAGGACGAAAGATCCAAGTATGTAAGTAATTTTTTTTTAATTTGGGGTTTCTGATAGACAGGGTCATCCACTTCTTTTAATAAACCCAATTCAGATTTTTTCGAAAATCACACTATGTAGTGGCATAAAAATGAGCTTCAAAAATAAATGAAAAGTGGAGACAAAATATAAAATGTTTAAAAGATTTTTTTCATTTCAAATATATTTTTCCTGATATATAATGAAACTAAGGATTAAGTTACTCCATAATCCAGTTTTTCAATGGTGGTTATAACCATTTATGTTTTAGTCATCAATTGACTAAGTTCCTCCTTTCAATTAATTATTCTTTTTATGTAAGGTCTAGGTTGAGATAAAAAAAGTCAGTGCCATGAGCGGGATTCGAACCCACGATCTTCGGCTAGATATGCCGCTACTCTACCACTTGAGCTATCATGACTTTGATCCACTCAGACACCAACTTCCCATCTCAACCTACAACCGTTCCAATTTTCCCTCTTTTTGCCATTTTTCGAATGCCGTAAAATCAGGATTCAATTTTCAGTGACTTATGAAGTGGCCACAGGAAGCAATTAGTGAAGTAATTACATCTTTTAATTATTAAATTAATCCATATTTGGTTAGTGGCCATAATTATTCCTTTTCATCTAAGATTTTTGGTTGAGATGAAAAATTAGAGTCACGAGTGAGATTCGAACCGACCTTTGGCTCAATATACCGCTGCTCGCTGCTATAACTACTTGAGCTATAGTGACTTCAATACCCTCAGACACCAACTTCCCATCTCAACCTAAACCAATTTTAAAAAATGGCAATTGGCTTTCTTCATGTGACTTTCAAATATAACGTCCGGTTTCTGAAATTCTTCTCTTCTTCAGCTCACTTCGGTCTATACATGGTAAAAAATGTCCATATGATCCCCTTAGGGATGGAATTAAAAAAAATAATAATAATAATTCTATCTTAGCCGGCTATCCATGTCATTATAGTTATGCACTGATGAAATTTCAGTCATCGGTTTGGTCTATGCATGATCTGTCAGTCATGGAACTATGTTGAATCTACAGAATATACGGGTGGATTTGAAAAAAAATCATTTCTTAGCAGCTACGCACTGACAAAATTTCAACCATTGGTTTGGACTGTGCGTCTGTCAGTCAGAGATGGAACTGCTTTACATATATAGGGATGGAATTTGAAAAAAAAAAATCCTTTCTTAGTCCATGTCATTATAGGAATGCACTGATGAAATTTCAGCCCTTTAGATCCAGTGGTTTGGTCCGTGCGTTGTCTCTCAGTCATGGAACTGTTTTAATTCTACAGAAGATAAGGGTGGATTTCAAAAAATACTTTGTTAGTCCAAGTCATTATAGGAATGCACTGATGAAATTTCAGCCCTTTAGATCCAGTGGTTTGGTTTGTAAGTTGTCTGTCAGTCTTTTAACTGTTTTAAATCTACAGAAGATAGGGATGAATTTTAAAAAATTCTTTCTTAGAATATGTCATTATAGGAATGTGCTGACTAAATGTGAACCCTTTAGATCCAGCGGTTTGGTCAGTCAGTCATGGAACTGTTTTATATAAAGAGAAGATAGGAATGGATTTCAAAAACTAATTTCTTAGTCCAAGTCATTATAGGAATACACTGATGAAATTTCAGCCATTTAGATCCAGAGGTTTGGTCTGTAAGTTGTCTAGCAGTCATGGAACTGTTTTAAATCTACAGAAGATAGGGATGGATTTCAAAAAATCCTTTCTGAGTCCATGTCATTATAGGAATGCATAGTCAAAACTTCAACCCTACAGACCCAGTGGTTTGGTCTGTGCATTGTCTCTCAGTCATGGAACCCCAATTCTACAGAAGATAAGGGTGGATTTAAAAAAATTCTTTCTTAGAATATGTCATTATAGGAATGCGCTAACTAAATGTCAACCCTTTAGATCCAGCGGTTTGGTCTGTACATTGTCTGTCAGTCAGTAACAAAACTGTTTTATATACATCTCCTCAACTGTTTTATATACATCTCCTCAACTGTTTTATATACATCAATAAATAATGAGCTAGAAATGTACTTTCGTTATTGGAAAATGTGTAGAAATTAGTGACCGTTAATCGATATCTGAATAGTTATTGGAAAACATAAATGAGAAATTCACTAGTTTTCGTGGTCTGCTTGACCAGACCAATTAATATCTTTCAAATGGCAAAAATGAGGGAAAATTCAAAAGGTGGAGTTGAGATGGGAAGTTAGTGTCCAAGTGGATCGAGGTCACGATAGTTCAAGTGGTTATAGCAGCGGCGTATCTACCCGAAGATCGTGGGTTCGAATCCCGCTCATGACATTGACTTCTTTATCTCAACTAAAAACCTTAATTGAAATAAATGAGAAAACCTCCTTGAGTGACTTTGCATAAATTTTATCATTGACTAATTTATAGCTAAAAATTAACGAGAAAGTTGAAATTAGGAATGGAAATTGAACCTTCTTGGATTTTATTCATTGTGAACATGTTCCTAGTTAGTAGTTTATTATATAAAAAAAAGGCTAATATTGTAGTCTAGCCAAGAAGTTATGTAACAAATTAATCAGGAAAATATTTTCTGAACAGGATTTATAAATGAAGAAAACTTGAACGACCTTGCAGTAAAGGAAGGAAAATTGGTCTTAATTTCTGAAAGGATTTTTTTTCTTTTGTAGTTCAAGAATAAAAGGAAATGTCAAGCATTGAATGGCCTAATTTAGTTTTAAGAATTTTTTTTTTTAAAGAAAATTGAGAGCATTGATTTTTTTAAAATCATGAAGTCAGATCTTAATAAATAAAAAGGCAGGTTTATGTTGAAATTAAACATCGCGTTTGACTTGTGACTGATTTAAAATAGAATCTTTTTCACAGATAATCCAATGGAACGAGGTTACGCCCTGTGTCCGAATCTAAATAAATTAGAAAAAGAATCTTTTATAAAAAAAAAATCGTTTTTATGCGTACCACCCAGTCTGAACCATCCTCCAACGCTCTTCGGCAGTGGAAGCCCTTGCAGGTAATGTGGCAAGTGGACTGTGACCAAATTGGACAGGGGTTCCATTTTTGTTCTCTTCCACAAAACTTCCACAAGCACAGAACAGAAAGATGCCGCACACTGCACAGACACAGAGTTGGACGTTGACCGAGGATCGAACGGCCGGTTGACCGTCCCTGTCCCTTCAACCGTCACCGTCTGAGTCGACGAAATTGAATTCCTCTCTTTTATTTATATTTATATAAAAATTAATCTCTTTTTTACTGTTTTATTTAGCAACATGAACGATTTTTCTATGCTAAATGTAAGAATTGGGCGGAAAAGAGCAAAATTTGAATATTTATTCAGCGACTGGTTCAATCTTTAGCCAGGGTGCAGCACTGAAATTTACACCTTACAAACAAACATAATAATTATCAATAATTAATTTCCATAATTAACTGGTTCTCTCGTCCCGATTTTACATAATCTGTAATTATTTAAGTGTCTCACCCAAAAATACTCTTTACCCACCAGTAAATAATTTTGAGTCTAAGAAAAGATTGTCTTTAGTATGTCACTCATTTTGCTACAGAACTACATAATTATTAAGACAGTGAAATAAGCCTTTATTTCCAGCATTATTATGTAAAATAATAATATCAATATTTATACACTGCTGGACAAAATAAGTGCACCGCCCTTAAATTTTAATATATTACATTTATTCCTATTTTGCATACTAAATATAGGGTTGGTTGTAAAAATAAAACATTTAAAAAAATATTGATTACCTAATTTAAAAAAAAGAGATTGATTGAATAAAGAAAAAAACAGAAAATTCAAAAGGAATCGCAAGGAATTTGTAATACCATTATTTGCTCTGATTCAAAAAGTGGTCTTGAAGCAATCAAAAATAATTTATTATTAAATTTAATTATTATAAAATAATAATTTAAAAATAATTTTTGACCCATACATCTTAGAAATTCACAAATATCTCTATGAAATTAGAACTGGAAATTTGTTAGGAGGTTCTTGGATTTGAGTTCTTGAATCCATTGTTCCCTCATTTTCTTTTTATCCTTCTGTCTGAGGTACTGATTAATAGTGGGTTCCTATGCCACAGAAGGGTTCAGGTCCTGTCAGCGTTATAACAGCCCCTTTTCTTGCAAGGGTGTCCGCTTTCTTGTTGCCTTTTACTCCTATGTGTCCTGGGACCCAGCGGAGGCTGACTTTGTTCTGCGTATCTAATAAGTTTAATTTGGTTTTGCAGTTCATCATCATCTTTGAACTAATGATATTTGAGCTTAGTGATTTTATGACTGCTTCGCTATCTGACATGATAGCTAGGTTCTTGTTTTTGTACCCTTTAGTCAACTTGAATTGAGTACATCTCTCGATTGCGTGAACCTCAGCTTGGAAGATGGTGTATTTTCCAAGGGGTTCTGAGTATTTGGTTCCAGGACCGAATACTCCTACCCCCGTAATTTCCTGTGTTCAAAATTCATCAGTGTACTAAAAGATGATGCCATTCTTAAAGGAGTGTTTTCATATCATTACCATTCTTTTTTGGTACTTAGGGGGAGGGAAAAGGAGGGAAAACTCATAAGGTGGGGTTGAGATGGGGAGTTGATGTCCGAGTGGATCGAGGTCACGATAGCTCAGGTGGTAGAGCAGCAGCGTATCTAGCCAAAGGTCGTGGGTTCGAATCCCTCTCGTGCCATTAGCTTTTTTTCATCTCAACTAAAAACCTTAATTAATTGTTTGGTACTTAGGTTTATTTGGAAGTTTTGATTGAATTCAAACATCCTGGTCATGTCATCTCTTGGAGCCATGAGTATCGGATGGTCCATGTTATACTGTTTATAGTTTGTACTGGCAGTATCTTCTTTATTACGCTTTGGATTCTTATGCTATGTAAGATTTTCTTTTTGAATAAATATGCAACAAATGTTGCAGTATGTGTAGAATTTTAATCTATATTTGAATAAGTCTGGTGTTCTCATGGGTTCTGAGTATTTAGTTCCAGGAGCGAATTCTCCTATCCCTGTATCTTCTTGTGTTCTAGATCCATCTGTGCACCAAAAGATGGTGCTATTTTTAAAGGAGGTGTTTTTCTTTTGTTCCCATTCTTACTACTTCTCCATTACTCTTGGAGCCAGGAGTATTGGATGGTCCTTCATTATTTTGTTGCAGTCTCTCCATTTTAATTTTATTACTGTTGAAGGTTTCACTTTAATGATACTAATAATAGTTTTCTGTGCTGTCCTCATTACCATGTGGGGTAGAGGGATTAATCCCATTAATTTTTCCATACCAACTGTGCGACATGTTCTCACAAATCTCTGTATTTTAAGTTAGCAAAAATAATATGCAATCACATACAAATCGAGATTCTAGATATAATTAATCAAATTACTACTGGCGCAAATTGAAATAAGCTCTTTGTTAATTTTTGTATATGATGATTTGAGAAAATATATGGAGAATATGAAACAATAAAGATGTTAGGTCATAATATGTATTTTAATATTATTTAATTGAGAAATGACTTTAAAAAAAATATTTGGGAGAATTTTAGGAAGCAGTTTTACCCAACGACCTTTTCAGGTGGTCTCTAAAGAGCTGTTCTCTCTTGATTCTAACTCTATTGAATTTGTCTCTTGAGTTTAGGATTAGGTTACTCACTGACCTTGAGTAAGTTTATTCACTGTTATACTGTTAATAGTTTGTACTGGCCGCATCAACTTTATTATGCTTTGGATTCATATGCTATGTAAGATTTTCTTTTTGAATAAATATACAACGAACGTTGCAGTATGTGTAGAATTTTAATCAAAATTCGAATAAGCCTTCCAGTTGTCAAAACATTGAGATAAAACGTGTATGTATGTGGATTATTTTTATTATTGTAAGTTCTCATTTTAAAGTATGCAGCAGATCATGCTACATACAGTTAAAAAAGTCTTTATAGATCACAATTTAATGTAACTTAAAAATGAATTTATACTATATGTGTACTTATTAAAATTTTTAGTTGAGTTATATTAAGCTCTTTAGATGGTAAAATCACGCTTAAAAATATTTTTTGAATCAAAGAGGAATGTAAAGTTATATCCTAAATGTCAGTCTCAACTTTGTTATAAATTATGTGGATCTCGGTATGGTTTGGATGAAAAACAAATTAATTTTTTTACCTATCAATGTTTTCATTACAGTTCGTGGTCCGATTGACCAATTAATTTTTTTCCATTAATTAATATTTATGAAAGGTATTGGTTAAGATAAAAAGTCAGTGTCACGAGCGGAATTCGAACCCACGATCTTCGGCTCAATACATCGCCGCTCTACCACTTGAGCTATCGTGACTTCGATCCGCCCCGACACTAACTTCCCATCTCAACTCACCTCTCGAATTTTCCCTCCTTTTTGCCATTTTTCAAATGTGTAATCCATTTGATTCTCAGCGACAAATGAAAAATGGCAAAAAGGAGGGAAAATTTGGGAGGTGAGGTTAAGATGGGAAGTTAGTGTCGGGGCGAATCGAAGTCACGATAGCTCAAGTGGTACAGCAGCGGCCTATCTAGCCAAAGATCGTGGGTTCGAATCTCGCTCGTGACACTGACTTTTTTATCCTAACCAATACCTTTCATAAATATTTGTTTTGACGTATTTTAAGGTCATCATCAGGACAAAACCTTCTTAAAGATGTCTACGCATCGGCATAATTATAAATTTTTAATAGTTACTGAGTCAGTCTATTGAAAACTTAATTACGACAATTTGTTGACATATTTAAGATGGTTTTATCTTGATGATGACCTTAGAATAAAGCAAAAGTTTGACAGGTAATGATTACATTTTTTTTTTATCCCTACAAGTTAAAAAAGTTGTCGACAAGCTAATACTAAACAGAATCTTGTTTGGGTCGGACTGGGCGAATGGCTAGAAAAAGCGTATGGAAGTTATGATGAGCCTTGAGTACGATGAGTAGGTGTGTCAGGGGTACATTCGGATTGGAAAAGATTGAGAACCACCGGTCAAAAGGAACTTGGACGTCGTTTATTATTATATAATTTACTTAATAACATGTCCCTTATTTTGTTACGATTTTCTGTGCCAAATCAATTTTTTTAAATCCTATAAAGGAATGCTGCATTAATTATCTCCCATTTTTAGGGTTGGGATATTGATGTTTAAAAAGTCGTACCAAAGGAAAAATGTCCAGACGGCGAAGCCCTAGGTTGCACGATAAAAAAGGTAATTTGATAAAATCAATTCGCTTATGTTTTTAACATTTTTTTTATTAAACAAGTTTGAATAATTTAATAGCGCATAAAAATACATTATAAATTGTTCATCTTTTATTTTATTCGTAGATTTACAGGGTGATTCAACAGATGAAAGTGAATCATTATCCGAACGTGAAGGTTTGTAAATTTAATTTATTTAATGTTTGTTATTTATGCTGATTAATAAATAATATTTGCTCTTTTGTTTGTTTAGAATCTCCCTTTAGAGTGCCTGAAAATAAATCACTTCCAGAACAGAGAAGAATTTTACATCCAGTTGGTATGAAATTATATGTGTATGGAGTATATACAGGGTGACTATGTACAGACATCGACACCAGAAAGTGATCCTACAACTAAAAAGTCAATATTGACCAAAGTTTAATTCTCAATTGTATTCTAAATGTTACTTTTAAGGTTTGCATAAACCCTCGAATATAGACAAGCTGTTTGCCTTCTTACTTGGATTATTGTCTATTAGTATGGGGTGGATTGAGCTTCTTGGTGGTTGCCACACACCTCTCTGGGAGCCTTGGGTCACTGCAGGGCTTTCAGATCTGGGGGGTATGGACGTTGGCAATGGCACGCCCCTCAGATATCTGTCCAACAACAAGAAAATACAAATAAGATAAATTTTTGGGTAAAGGGGATTGCCTGTGAGAGAGGGCAATGCTGTTGTCGTAAATGTTGGGTTGTCTGGGCTTGCCTCCTTGTCTGATCCCGGGGCTGTTTGGAACCCCTTGAGGTGGATCACCTTTCTGTTAAAAAATGTTTGCTTAAGCACTTGTTAATTTTCCAAGCTCATTTATTACCGACAAAACCATAAAATTTAAGTTTAATTGTTAAAAAATTGATAAAAAATGTTGAATTTTCTATTAAAAAATAATGAAAGTAATACAAAGTAAAAAAACTCTATGGTTCAAAATTGAACATAAAAAAACTTTTAAAAATTAAATTAAATGTTCAAAATGACACCTTCTTGAAGATGTAAGCCGAGGAAAGCGAACATTTTGAACATTTAATTTAATTTTTTAAGCTTTGCAGATTGTTTCAATTTTGTACCAAAGAGTCTGTTTAGTTTATTTTATTTTTGTTTTCATTATTTTTTAATAAAGTTTAAAAAATTAATGATATTTAATGAATAATTTTTTAAAATTGATTGTAACCAAAGTCAATTTTTTTTAGCAGTTAAACATTATTTTTACATAACAGATCTTTGAGCAGTTAATTTTAATTCTCGGTAGTACCATATCTGTCCGAATTTATAAAACGAAGAAAATTTTATTTAAATTTTGGACAAGAACTTTTAAAAGTTATAAAAGTCTTCTTAGTAATTTTATTTTATTTTATTTTTTTGCTTAAGGTTATAACATAAAACAAATCTCTAAGGGTTCTCGAGCTCTTTTCATTGTTAAAATCTGATTTACAGTATGATTAACATTTTATGAGATTCCAGGGTCTTTATGGTATAAAATTGTGCGAAGTTGAAGTAGCATGAGAAATAAAATATCTTCGATACAATTGAGAATGAGACTTTGGGCTATAAAAAAATTTTTTTTTAGTCCAGTTTGACATGTAGGATAACTTCACTATTTTTTTTCGTGGTCCGCTTGACCAATGGCAAAAAGGAGGGAAAATTCAAAGTTCTCAAGGTTGAGATGGGAAGTGTCCGAGTGGATCGAAGTTACGCTAGCTCAAGAGGTAGAGTGGCATATCAAGCCGAAGGTCGTGGGTTCGAATCCCGCTCGTGACACTGACTTTTTTATCTCAACTAAAAACCTTAATTAATTGATTGTAGGATAACCTGAAGTATCGATGTCAGTTCATGGGGACACCCGGTATATACTTTATAAACTTCTTTATTTCTAAAAAATATAAATATTTTAATGTTGTATAACATTTCCAGAAAATAAAAGTAAAAATCGTCTAGAACAGCATACTGCTTATAAAGATGGTATGAATGTTATATAATATTAACTAAACTTATAAACTTATTACTTCCAATTTTTATGTAAAGACTTTGATAAGAAAAATTAATGTCACAAGTGGGATTTGAACCCTCGATCTTTTGCCCTTACATATATGTTGTATTGAGGTCACGGGTTTGAGTCCTGCTCGGGACACTAATTTTTCTTCTCAACTGTATAAAAATTGGAAATAATAATAATAATAAAGAGATAATTAATTTAATAATTATTTATTACTCATTTTTAATGTTTTTAATTCTAGATTATGAAGCATCGCAGGAAAGCTCAAAGAAATACCTTTTCCATGGTAATTAATGAATGGACACTTTTTACAAATTGATTTTAATAATTTTTGTTTTAATGTATATTCTTGGGTGTATAATTTTTTAAAAATATTTCAAAAGTGTTGGCAGGTCTTTTGGTCAGCAGTATATTGACTACAATAGGTGCTGTGATTTTTGTCAACTTCTCGTCATACTCTACACTCAATAAGCCAGATTTGAATTATCCCAGAACCAAAGTCATATTAGCAGTGGATGAAATAAGAAAAATTTATAAAAATCAGAACAAAGGTACATTTGAACACATAACAGTGGGTCTTAATTCGACGCCATCTGTTTTCATGTTGATTTACAACGGCAATAAAGAAGAAGCCGAGTGCATTCCTTCAACGATAAAGAAATATTTCAAAGAACATTTTCATTTCGAGAAAGAACCAATAGAATTGAAAGGACCGGAGATTAAAGAAGAAGAACAATTTGACTTTCTTGAAGAGTACACAAGCAAATTAAATATTAGCAAGCTTATGATTGTTTACAATCTGGACGGCATGAGCGCAGATGTGGCGGAAAACTTTCATTCGTTTTGCGATGTTGAAAATCCTCTGATACCAGATGCTGTTATAATATTTACATTGAAAATTGGCGATAAACTTTATTTACAAAATAAAAATCCTCTGAAGAAAGCACGTACATTTTTAGAGGAAAAATGGAAGAATCTAAGTGCCTATGCTCGAGACACATTGATAACAAGGCTGATCACTAATGCCATTGAAATTAATAAAGAAGATCATTTCTCCTGCCCGTATAAGTGATGTGATATAATTTAATTTGAAATTGTTAAACACAACATAAATTGTACAAAACAAAATTACAAATTTATTAAACCATCTTTTTTGTTAATTATTATAATTTGATATTTTTTCATATCGATTCTAATAATTCTTTGGAATAAAATATATCCTTGGATTTTTTAAAATTATTGGGTGATATATAGGGAAAAAAAAATTCAGTCAAATTTTAGGATTGTAATGATAATAAAATGAGCAATAAAGCAATAATAACATAATGATAATTAAGTGCGGGAAGTGGCAGAGCAAGTTTACTTCTTACTCAATTCACTAGTTTCGTGGTCCGCTTGACCAATTAATATATTCCAAGTAATAAGGTTTTCAGTTGAGATAAAAAAGTCAATGGCACGAGTGGGATTTGAACCCACGATCTTTTGATACGCTGCTGCTCTACCACTTGAGCTATCGTGACCTCGATCCACTCGGACATCAACCTCCCATCTCAACCACACCTTTTGAATTTTCCCTCCTTTTTGTCATATTTCAAATGTGTAATCAATTTGATTGAAAACCTTAATTAATCGGAATATATTAATTGGTCAAGAGGACCACGAAACTAGTGAATTGAATAAGTTTAAAATGAAGAATACCTTCTCTAAAGCTCTCTGTGGCGATTTCATTTGTTACCGAGAATCAAATTGATTGCACGACATTTGAAAAACGGCAAAAAGGAGGGAAAATTCAAAAGGTGGGGTTGAGATGGGAAGTTAGTGTCGGAGTTGATCGAAGTCACGATAGCTCAAGTGGTAGAGCAGCGGCGTATCAAGCCGAAGATCGTGGGTTCGAATCCCGCTCGTGCCATTACTTTTTTATCTCAACTGAAAACCTTAATTAATTTACTTGTTACTTCAAATTTTCTTTACATTTAATAACAAGAAAAAAACAAACAAACTATATATAGCAATATACAATATGAAAAATATTCATTTTTTTAAATGTGGGTTTGCAACAACAGAGGTCATATCAACCCCTGGTGTGTTTTTTTTGGGGAGGGGAAGCCCATTATCCAGTTCCCCTAAATTCGTACCTGATACCTTTACATTGCAGTGATAAGTGCTGTGTCAACGCCTTAACAGTTGGAACTATTGATACCACTTATTTTTTTTACAAGAAGGGACACTCAAGAAAAAGAATTTCAGCATAATTTTTAATTTGAGCTTTCATTTTAGTCGTCCCAATTTCCTCATCTAGGAATTCAACTTGTCCAGTATGACCTATTGGTGACAAACCTAAGAAATTTGTTGTGCACAAATTTTTTGCAAATTCAAATTGCATGTATAACTTCAAATTTGGGCATCGACAAGGGATATCAAGGGGGACAGAACTGTAATAACAACTTTTCCATTTTTTATGTCTGGAGAAATTCAATTTCGGTACAAGGTTAACCCTTAGTATTTAATTTTATCTGCCCATTCATTATCGAGACTAACAAGGGATGTATTTTGGTGAAGAATAAGGCCTCTGATTCTTAGACATTTAATCTGTTACCAAAAATGACAATTCCGAATAATTCTGATCATGGCTTCATTTAGCCTCCTGTGCTCTCCAGGAAAAGATTTAAATTGCTATATCAACAAAGCTAGTGAGTAGTCTTTTAAGTAGGTGGGGAGTATTGATGTACAGTCCTATTAGGCATGGTCCTAATATTGATCCTTGAGGGACATCCGCAACAATAGAAAATGCCAAAGTAAGAGATCCTTTTAGATAAGTGTGTAAAAAATGAAAATAGAGATCACAATCCAATCTTCTGCAAGATTTCAAGAATACAACGTAATATGTTAATTCTAATAACTTGACTATAGACAATAACTTCAATAGCAAGGTATTGGTGCTAGCAGCGAGAAAAATTAAATGTAACTTAAATCTGCGAATAAACTATGAGTGAAGTGACGAGTAAATGTAAAATAATTGAGTCTTCAGAGAATAATGGCACCCAATGTATCATTATAATCTGATGTCGCTCGTTATCAGGATGACATCACGGGGTCACTGTCGCGCCGGCTGGGGAAAGCAGGCTTAATAAGGGGTTGGGAGGACGTGGGTAACGTAAGGGATGTTGAGGTCGGAGGGTAAGTTAGGGCAGGATCCGTAAAAGGAACTTTTGCAATAGAGAGAAGGGTTTTGAATTGGAAAAATTGGATTATATTAGGAGTTTGATGCTTTGGCAGTACTCCATGCATCCATGCAGTCTGTTTTAGCAGTGTGTACTAGATTAGTTTTTGTTATTGAGGTTTTAAGCGTTTGTATGAACTTAGAAGTTTGAATCGTATATTTTGTTCTTTTCGTTCTAGTCAAGTATGAAGCCCATGTGAGACGTTTGTTGATGTACCCGTCGTCTTAAGTAGCGAATACAGTCGTGAGTAGAGGAATAGTGTATTGGCACGAATCGCGTTAGACGGCTCTGCATTTCTTGGAAAATATTGCTGATAAAATCCTGAGGAATTCTTTCCCATTCATCAAGAACAGCCGTTTCCAACTCTTGTTGGGTGTTAGGACCTGAGTTTCGCCGTTGTACTCGTCGCTTAGGTTAGTCTCAAATGTATTGGATTGGGTTCAAATCTGGACTTTGAAAGTTTGAACTGGCCACACCAGGTACTCAATTCCAACCTCATTTAGGTCGTTTTTGTGACTGGGAGTTTTGTGGCCCTGAAAAGGGCCGGTGTTGTGTTGGGAGAAGCCGTGACGAAGGTATGACGCCGAGACCGCCGTTGGTTGTGGTATGTGACAGAGTAAACCGTCGGCTGAGGTCCGGGGGGTCGCGAGTCGGTTGACACCACAGAGGCCGAAGGTACTGGAGTGCAGCAATTAGCCGAGGGGGAGCAGTTGGCGTTTATAGCCAAGTCGGCTGTTTAGAAGGCGAGAATCAGGCTAATGCTGCGAGTACCTTTGCTGTCGTCGACGGTGTTCCATTAGTGATAGCTCAGGGTTGACGAGTCTGCTGTCATTGACGATTAGTGATGGATGACACCTCGTCGTGTCGAGTCTGCTATCGTTGTTGCTGATGTCGATTACATTAATGATTTGTGATATGTCGTCGGGTTGACGAGTCAGATTTCAGCGGGGTGCCCTGGCTTATATAGGGAAGAGCTCTACTCGGATTGGCTGCAGAGTGGAGGGTGAAAACATTCCATAAGTGGTAGTGGCATCTAGCGGTAACGTGTGGCCGCTACATCGTCATCCAAAATACGTGCTATACCGGGCCTGGCATTATCCGCATTAGCAAGAATCACAGAAATGGGGCAAATGGCACTATACGTTCTTCGGTTATATCTGTGAAGTTAAAGATCTTCCTCATACAACAGCTCGGTTTGAGCGACCAAGGAAATTCCACCCCAGATCAACAATGACCCTCCATGGAGTGCCACCTGAAGAACCGTACAGCATGGAGCCTTTCTCCAGAGCGTCTCCATATTCCCTTGAGCTGTGGTAAGAACAGGTCCACGAACCGTGTGCCGGGCCCTGAGGTTATTTTCATTCAGCCTTCTTCTTTCAGTCCTGGAAGAAATCGAAACATTTCGGACTTGTTTTATCAGATTTATTATCTCATTTCCCGTAATGCTGAGGTTTCGTCTGAAGATCCTCGACCCTTCTGGTATGAAGCCCTATTCGTCTGATGCGCCGAAGAATCCTTCCTATTGTGTAGTGATTTACACTCTCCTGACGACTTCATACTGGCTATATCCTTCCTATAATAAAAGACCCTGACACTGTCATACTCAAATACCTGACTGGAGCCTTTGAAAAAGGTTTAAAAATAAGAATAATATCAAATGTGTGGAGATTAGTGACCGTTAATCGATATTTATTTAGAAATCGTGAGATGCGGTCTGGTTTTGGTGGATTTGTTTTATATAAAAGGGAATGTTTAAAAGTTGATTCTATTTAACAATTCATTTAGTAGTGATCGTGATAAAAAAATCCATCAAAATAAATCACTTTAAATCGTAGATTTCACTTGAAACCAGGCTTTTACTGAAGTTGGAACTTTTTTCATAAAAATAAAGGTCAATTCCATCACAAAACGAACTATATTACAATTCTTTTTTTTTAGAAAACTAATGGAAAAATTAGAAATTGCAAAAAATCTTAAGTTTTACGAGAAAATCCAACTTAACATGACTGGATTTTTGATTTCATATTAGTTTATATTAGTTCATATTAGATTTATGTTTATTGTTTTAAGGGTTAAAGGTATATATAAAATTCCTTTATATAAAAGGAAATGTGTCGTGGTTAGGTACCGTTAATCGACAATTATTCAAAAATCGTGAGATGCGGTCTGGTGTGATGTAGGTTTCCGAAAAACATTTTCTTTATCGTGCCAACGTTTCGATCTTTATTGAGATCATCTTCAGGGCTCAAAGTGTTTGTCTTCTGTGTAATTGTGCCATTCTAGCGTGTCGGGTCTCACACTCTCGTGGGCTCTCTCGACACGACACGCAAGAATGGCACAATTACACAGAAGACAAACACTTTGAGCTCTGAAGATGATCTCAATAAAGATCGAAACGTTGGCACGATAAAGAAAATGTTTTTCTGAAACCTACATCACACCAGACCGCATCTCACGATTTCTGAATAATGATTTTTTCAATGTTTAATTTTTACGGAATTTAAAATGTTTATTCAGTCTCATTTGAATTCTGAAGCAATAAACTGTTTAGCTTTCATATTTTTTTCTTAATTTCAATTGTTAAACTTAAAAATGCCAGTCTAGGATGTTGTCTGAGGATGTTGCGCGTTGTGTGGTGGTGTGGCACTTATGGATGATGGACGTTCCATCAGGTATGCGGCTATTGCCATCGTAGTTCCATACGAAACTCTGCGAGATCAAGTTTTCGAAAAACTGGGTACAACCATAGAAGGCCCGGACGCTCTAGGGTAACAGAACCACAGGATGATCATTTTTTGACTTTGAGAATTTTGCAAAACCTTACTGTTGTTCAAGCGATCCATCAGCTCCAGGAAGTTCGAGGTTTCCAACGCACTGCTCAAAAAAGATTAAATGGACAGATGGCTTTTTGCCTCCTAAGAGGACCAGAATTGTCGAGAACACACAAAGTTGCACGGCGCGCATTTGCTCCAGAACACAACCATTGATCTTTGGACGATTTGTCTGCTGTACTTTTTACAGATTTACTCTATGATCTCCAGATGGACGTGAAAGAGTGTGGAGAAGGTGAAATGAAAAGTACGAAGCTTGTTATTTTCCCCCCAGCCAACCTTTTCAACGTAACTCAGTGATGATGTGGGCGGGAATTTCAATGAAGAATCGCATAGAGTTGGCTGTTGTTTATGGAGGATCTTTGACGGCCACTCGCTATGTGGATGAAATTTTGGAACGTCATGCGTTGCCTATCCTCGACGAAATTAGCGACAATCATAATCTATGTACGATAATGCCTGTCCACATGTCGCTCGCATAGTACAAAACCTTCAATAGCATAACTTCAGGGTCTTAGTCTGACCAGCCAGTTCTCCAGACTTGAACCCCATTGAACGTTTATGGGATAACCTCAAAAGACGAATAAGAGCACGTCCATCACTTCCTGATGCACGGTCTTGAAAGGATTATTCGTGAAGAATGGGCTAACTTCCAGCAAAAAGACATTTCCAGACTGGTAGAAAGTATGCCGAGGCGCCTCGATGCTAATTAAAAATCTAAAACAAAATTAAAACAAATTTTATCTGCCCATCTTTTTTTTCATTTTCCTTAGCAATTTATATTTTTTTACTTTTTTTTTAGACAGACTCAATTATTAAACGTTAAAAAACGTGAAATTTTGATTAATGTATAAAAAAATATACAAAACAAGTTATATTACAAGTGGGTGGAATTTTTTTTGCCTATCAGTGTATTTTCGTATAATTAATATAATTTCATATCAACCAAGACCTTACATAGAAATAATAATTAATTGAAAGAAGTAATTTGGACAATTAGACCACTAAACACAATGGATTTTCTTATAATAATTAATTTGGATTTTTTACACTTTGTTGATGACAGATAATAAACATGCTTTTGTTAGATACTTGAAAAAAGCCATAAAGAATAAAATATTTAAAAAAAAGTTAATTTTTCAGACTCTGAACTTTGTAATTATCTAAACCGCAGAGACTGGGGATAAATTGAGGATTGATGTTTTTTAGTTTTCATCTGAAACGACTAAATTTATTTTATGCTTTACGACAGAAATTTATGCTGTTTCAAATTTATATTGTTTATCATTTTTCCATTCCATAAGAGGAAGCCATTTCCGTTTTTAGCCAGACATAAGATTTTTGTGTTGTCTTTTGCTAGATGAGAAAGAGATCTTGGAACTTTGTCCTAAGTGGAATTCTTTGTGTATCGATTCTTAAAAAGCGCCGATTAAGTTTTTAAATAGCGTTGCATCTATTATAGGAGTTAGTTTTATTCGGATCTAAACTATTTATTCGTGCTCATATCAAGGGGGTGGTAGGCGGGGGTGGAGCTTCGGGGGCGGATTTGCCCTGCGCGCGGCCCCCACGTCATACCTGCTCCAATTCTCTCCCTCTCGCTTACTCCGGGATCAATATCCAGGTTAGAGGGAGTGGGAATGAGAGTGAGTCCATACACGTTCCTCGCTCTCTCCACGTTCGGTAAGTTTCAACTGAGATCAAACCAATACGCACATTTTCTTTCCGAAGCACCTCCACGAACACCTCGTTACCCTCAATAGTTTCCGAAACGAACCGATCCAGAGCCGAAAAAGAAATTGACATATATAATATAAATAATTAATTCTTCTAAGTGAAATAAAATAACAAAAATGACGTATTTCTTATCTACACTGCCTGAACTCTTGTACAGTAAGAAAATATCTGATCATTCTCACCCTAAAAACACATAAAATTGTCCTTAAACAATGAATAATTGGTGTTTAAAAAATAAGGTTGATTTTTAAAAAATTAACAATTAATAAGGACAGCAAATAGAAATATTCAACTAGTATTTTCATGAAACATTTAAAAATACCCATGATAATCATAACAACTATGCAAATTGAAAACCTTTTACCCTTAAAATAATAAACATAAAAATAAATGACTTTGAATGAATTGACTTGAAAGACTAACCTTTTCTGGATGTTAATGTCTTCGTGAAGAAAGTATGAATAAAACGAAACAGTTTTTTCTTAAAGAATTAAGCTATTTTTCTAGCAAATCATCAAAATGATATATTACTTTATAATACATTTTATTTCTAATAATCTCTGTGTAATTACTGTTGAACTTTTTCAAAACCGAACGTGGATTTCCAGGTCGTGTACGTTGTAAGGGAAAAGCTCAATTAATGCCAACTGGGCATTTCCTCAATTTTTTTCTTTCCACTAATTTAAGACCAGCTAATATCCAAATAGACTAGAATTTTCCCATTAGTCCGAATCTAAATGTCTAGTTACAGATACAATTTGACGTGGTTTCGAGGGCAATGAGGTGGTTTAAACCATTTCATGAGGCAATATCGACAAGTTGGATTATTGGATTACAAGTTGGATGGTTTGTAATAAATTTAAATAGGTCTAAACTGCCAATTTCGGCAAATTTAAAGCCTATTTGGTGTTTTTATTGAAACAGAAAAAATCTACGATCACGTGGTTTTTAATAAAAATAATTTAAAGCACAACTAGACCTGATACCTGCTAAAAAACTAGAAAAAGGAATGAAATGTTTGAAATTTAACAATAAAGTTTAAAAACGATCGTGGCTCAATTTTTGTTGATTTTATCGATTCTATTTCCTCGGCATGGTCCTGCTTCGTCAAAAGTTAAATTTACATAAATTTACAAGCGATGTGAAACGTTTGGAACATCTGTAATGTTATTATGACTCGAATCACGACTTATTGTGAACCTTTGGGCCACAAAGGGGCAAACCATTTCTAAAATGTTATCAGTACGTATGAATATCATAAAAGAAATAAAACCCGACTTCCTTGGACGTTCTTCAACTTAAAGGAGAAAGAAGAACAATAATAATGTACGTTTTATGTTCTCTACCCAAAAAAAAAAAAAAACGCTTATAATGAAGGGAAATATCATTAATTACAAGAGACCATATTTATTTTCATCTGTATACTTACAATTTTTCAAGAATAAGGTAAAAAAATGTACTCATCGCTATATTAAATTACATTAAAATATTGATACAATTTTGAATATGTTTTTTTAACCAATCATTTCTAAAAAACTAGGTTTTAGTTTTCAATTACAAGAAATACTATTTTAATTTAAATTGCATTTTTGTCTGATTAATTTGATGTGATCTTGATATCAATCAATTGCTATACAGGCATATTTAACATAGATTTTAATTAATATAACTAACCATCTATTGAAATGAAAATAGCCTCTGGCACGACAAAATGTGATTAATCTGGATTTGACGAAACAAAAAATCTACTTCTTTTATTGAATTGGTCATTTATGGTGTTAAGGAAATTGTGTCAGCGCTTTTATTTATTTTAAGCACTAATTTGAAATAAAGGATCCAGTCATATCAAGTGGTTAAGTTGGATTTTCTTGCAAAAATGTTTAAACGGATGTATATTTAATATCATCCAGTATACTTAAGATTTTCTGCAGTTTCCAAGTTTTCCATTGGTTTAAAAACAAAATATTGCAATAAAGTTTGCTGTGTGATGGAATTGACCTTTATTTTTTTGAAAAAAGTTCCAACTCCAGTAAAATTTTGGTTTCAATTCAAAATTGTGGGCACTCTCAACACGACACGCAAGAATGGCACAATTACACAGAAGACAAACACTTTGAGCCCTGAAGATGATCTCAATAAAGGTCGAAACGTTGGCACGATAAAGAAAAGGTTTTTCTGAAACCTACATCACACCAGACCGCATCTCACGATTTTTGAATAATTGCCGATTAACGGTCACTAACCACGACACAATTCCTTTTATATAAAGGAATTTTGTATATACCTTTAACCCTTAAAACAATAAACATAAATCTAATATGAACTAATATGAAATAAAAAATCCAGTCATATCAAGTGGTTAAGTTGGATTTTCTCGTAAAAATGTTTAAACGGATGTATATTTAACATCACCCAGTATACTCAAGATTTTTTGCAGTTTCCAATTTTTACATTGGCTTTCTTAAAAAAAGGATTGTAATATAGTTCATTGTGTGATGGAATTGACCTTTATTTTTATGAAAAAAGTTACAACTTCAGTAAAATTCTGGTTTCAATTCAAAATTGTGGTTATGTGGGCACTCTCAACACGACACGCAAGAATGGCACAATTACACAGAAGACAAATACTTTGAGCCCTGAAGATGATCTCAATAAAGGTCGAAACGTTGGCACGATAAAGAAAAGGTTTTTCTGAAACCTACATCACACCAGACCGCATCTCACGATTTTTGAATAATTGTCGATTAACGGTAACTAACCACGACACATTTCCTTTTATATAAAGGAATTTTATATATACCTTTAACCCTTAAAACAATAAACATAAATCTAATATGAACTAATATAAACTAATATGAAATAAAAAATCCAGTCATGTTAAGTTGGATTTTCTCGTAAAACTTAAGATTTTTTGCAATTTCTAATTTTTCCATTAGTTTTCTAAAAAAAAAGAATTGTAATATAGTTCGTTTTGTGATGGAATTGACCTTTATTTTTATGAAAAAAGTTCCAACTTCAGTAAAAGCCTGGTTTCAAGTGAAATCTACGATTTAAAGTGATTTATTTTGATGGATTTTTTTATCACGATCACTACTAAATGAATTGTTAAATAGAATCAACTTTTAAACATTCCCTTTTATATAAAACAAATCCATTCATTAAAATTTTTAACTTGGGTTTGTTATTATCCCTTTTTAATTTCTTTATGAGTAATATAATTTTTTAATTAATATTTCATTGGTGAATCTTTGGCGAAAGAAGAAAACGAGATTTGATCAATTTCACTTAGTTTTTTTTTTCTCAGGAAGAATTCGTACATCTAACCCAGTGATTTTCAGCCTTTTCAAGTCCGTTTACTCCTTTCTGATTCACAACTTCAAAGTGTAACCCGATACAAAATTCAACTCATACTTCATACCCACTTTTTACCACCATATGCCCAGAAGAATGTTATTTGCTGAATAATAATAAAAATAAAATAAACTTATCTATTTTTCACTCACGTATTTTTGATGAAATGAACATGGTGAAGAAACTTTTTAAAACAGGGTATTATAATAGAGTTATTATCAACGAATTTTCTTGGAACCGATATCGTAGGAATTGAGCCAAAATTTTCAATAGAAAAAAATTAATGTATTTTTGAGTGTGTAGAGATTAGTGACCGTTAATCGATAGTTATTCAGGGCACTCTCAACACGACACGCAAGGATGGCACAATTACACAGAAGACAAACGCTTTGAGCCCTGAAGATGATCTCAATAAAGGTCGAAACGTTGGCACGATAAAGAAAATGTTTTTCCAAAACCTACATCACACCAGACCGCATCTCACGATTTCTGAATAAGTATTTTTTGAGGTTGCATTGAAGGACACAGTTTTGAAAAATTTGGTTGGAAATTGGAAATTCATTTTTCTATTGGAGATATCTTTTAAAATGGTATCAGAAGTCAGCTCTAATTCCTTCTCATGTATTGACAATTCACGTTTTTGTGTTATTCCCTGATAAATCTTCCGAGATGAAATAAATTTTATTCCGACAAACCATCCCTGGCACAAAGCCTACTGAGATTTTCTCCATACGCTTTACGAGATATCATTTGTTTAACAATTAGGATTGAACGAAAATTACAAAGAATACAAAAAGGGTCTTCACCTTTATTGATCCAAAGTCGTCTTGGAAGGAAAAGGTTCGACATTATTGACTTAACAGATAATTAGGTTATAAAAATACTAAAAATAAATTTTACTTTAAAAAATGATAAGTAAAGAGTTTATATCGCCTTGAAGGACTTAGATTTTCTCGCTGCGTCTATTAATCTTTTTTTGCCTATTCCTTTTTTCCATTGCTTACTTACATTGTTTGAATTATATCAAAGGGTAAAAATTCTTTGGAAAATTTGTCCTCACAGAAGTTTTTTATGAATTCATAAGAAAAATCACATAGAGTGTTTGTACCTTCTGATGATGAGTATTTATACGCGGAATCCGGATGCTGTCTAAAACTCATGATCGAGTTTAAATAAATTTAAGTGTTTAATTTAAATTGTTATTTTTATGATAAAGTAATGGACAAATTTGTTCATTCTTTTTTTTTTCCTTTGGGGTATTACAAGCTGCTGGCTGGTCCCAGGCGGCCGCTGCTCGGCGGAAACTTTACGGCGTCGCGCGACTTAAATATAAATGGTAATCTTATGCCATGGGACCATGAATTATGGACGGTACAATCAGAATACCGACTTTAGATTTCTTGTCCGGCTATAGACCCTTGGATTTTCTCGACATTTCCTTTTTACTTTTATGTTTTTTAAATATAAAAAAATATTTTACTTCTCTTAAAATTGGATTACTAAGTCTCGAATTAATTACAGTCAGTTTATCTTTTTATAATAGTGAAGCTACAAATATGGCCAACCATAAATAAAATTTTTGAGTGAAGGCGGAA